TACCAGGTAGCTCCTCAGGAGGTAAGAGACTCATGGAACGTCTTGGATTACCTTAACTCTGAAAGAGATCCAGATGCATCAGAACATGTGGTACTGGAAGACAGACAGAAAATCAATAAGATTGTTAACGATAAGTCAGAATCTTCCGATTCATCATCCATGGAACACTTAAACATTGCACACTTGGAGAACAGCATCACCTCAGAAGACACTGACAGTTCAGCCCAAGTATTCGACATCAAACCCAACAGTGTTTTATTCAACAAGACAAATGTTCCATCTGCATTCAATACGGCTACTCATTTGGAAAATCCTCAATCAAATACGAAGCTGCGTACAGAGACCATTTCCAGTAACACAGCTATGAGACCTCAGGAAATGATTCCCATGGAAATGCTAGAAAAATCTGATACCCTACACGGGCCCACAGACCCCCGCATAAATAGCAAATGAGGTCAGAGGAATTCAGTAGGACGCCGAGTCCCGCATCGGCCTTTAGAGGTAAAGATGACAATGAATATCTGAGATACAATCAACTCACCTTTAAACAGAAACAACAGTCGATAGAGGAGCGTTACAAAAAATACATCACTGCTCCTGAGGTGGTTCGAAACGAATGGAATGTTGTTGTTTTTTAATTTCTTTACTCTGAAAGTTTTCGCACAGCATTCACTGATGGAGGAATACGACAGACGTTTCGACTAGACAAAGAGAAGCGACTACGTTTGGAAGTCAGGCACATAAAAACGATTGTTACATCAGCCAAGGGCTGTTCAAATACCAGATACACTTCGAACAGCAGCCGCCCAGGGGATACTAACTTATCACTGTGCTCAGCAGTAAACCAGTGATTTCTTCGATTCCCGGAAAAAAGAAGAGTTTTTAGGTGTTGCCGTTCACAAAAATGTTACCCTTCTGGGACACTGCGCCGTCTAATCTAGTAAAAGATCGATGTTTCAGAAATATTCACTGCCTTTATCAACAGGACGGTAAGTAAACACCGCGTGAAATTTTTGGTACAAAAGTGGAAACCGGTCGGGTGAGACAGAACCTTGGCCTGATCAGGAGAAGCGGAAGCGGGAAAAGATATAACCGTAGAAAAGGGCCGGGAAGTGTATAATGTGTGTAATGAGCATAAGGCTTCCTGGTGTCTTCCGTGGTTCTGCCCTTCTTCTTATCAACATGGGACCGCAGGCTTCACTTCCCCTCCGAAGGAAGTCGTGCTATGGAAGTTTATCGCCCTTAAACCTTGGGTCCAGTGGCAAGCACGCTACCACTAGACCACCGAGGACGACTTCCATCCCTGTCTTCTGCCTTACTCTCTGTTCCAATCAGGTCCTCGACACCCTCAACCCTTTGTGCTCCCGCGCAGCTTACAGATTGCACTGATGATACAGACAGTAAGGATCCCTCAAACGTTGTTCTATTTATACGAGATTACTTGGTGCAGTGTCCCCTCCTCGTCCTCACCTTCATGAGGAACTAAATCTAACAGTTCTATTTATTTGCAATAATGTATACCTATAGGAATTGAGACTTTCGCGGCGACTAGAATCAATAAAATCTTCTCGGGCAATCAGCCGCGTTAACTGTAAACCGACGGTCCGGACATGTGCACTGGTCCCGAGCAGGTAGTTATACACAGGCGACTTCCGAGGTATTCAGTCACATCAGAAACGTCGGTTTACTACGGTAACCAGTTAACGCGGCTGATTGCCTATGTGACGTATTTGTATCATGGAAAAATAAAATGAAGATTTCTGTCTTGTTGCACCGTGTAGTATGGTAGATGTTTACCAACCTGTCAGAGGTCATACTGCCTCGCCCTGATGACGGAGGCAGTATGACCTCCGAAACGTTGGTTAACATCTACCCATCTACCAGACTACACAGCGCAACAACCGAGAAGACAGAAATCTTCATACTCACCGCTGTGAAAACCTAAAATCATACACGAAAAATAAAATGTTATTACGAAATCATTTTAAGAATCTCTATTAATAACTTCGATCCTTTCCTCTTGTTAAGAAAAACAGCGAACTGAGGTAGATGAACTGATATCATCATCGTCTATGGTGCTTCGGCCCGTTTTCGGGCCATGACCTCCCCCGTTCGGAGGTTTCTCGATCTTTAAAGTGTGAACTGATATCACTATACAGAATAATATAGAAGTCGAAGGACTTCTATATCAAAAAGGAGTAAGCTTGTTGAGCGCGGTTTTCTGGGGTGTGACGCTCTTTCTATGTTGTTACAAACGTTTCGGCGAGATAAAACACCTCGAATCGTTAGTAACCATGTACACGCTTGACATCTTTACCGCCTTAAGAAACTGAAATCCGAATAAGCTTGTCAAAGACTTATGAGTCTGCATTATTGAAGTAACATATGTGGAATTTTAACTTTTTATAAACGAAAAATCTCTTTCACAAAATGAAAATTTACATGCTACAAGACTATAATACAAAACTCTATAGACGTCTCAACACACAAGCTTCCACTTATTTTATGGTTGTATGCAAAGCCTTTGCAAGGATTTCCATTCACGTAAAAGATCTTTCGCATTATAAAGAGCAATTATTATGGAATAACACAAACACTGCTCACATCATTTGACATTTTAATTTCGAGTCTGGTCGCTTCCATTGCCAGAGAGATCCGAATGTCTCAACACCTAGAATAAGTTATCACTTCATTTTACACTTTCTAAACGAAGAATTTAAAATATATTGGAATTAATCACTAAAATCACACACTAAATCCCACAGCATAATGCTGTATTTCAGATCTCCATTTGGCCTGTCTCAAACAGCCGCAGATCACTAAGTACGTTTCCATTTGGCCTGGTCGGCGGTGGCAGTGGCGGTAGAGGGTGGTTATGGCCGTAGATCCTCTGTAACCTCTGAAGGCTATTGGAGGAGACAGTGCGCTCCAGGATCTCGCCCCAGTATTTCTCGCTGAGTCCCTCTAGGTCGCTCTTGGAGCCGGAAGGCAACGGGTTTGCTGCGGGCTGAGTGGCGTCACTGCTGTTCGCGACACAGCAGTGGGCCTTCGCGTTCGGCGTCTCCTGACGCCGACACAGCACCTAGAACCGCAACACGTCCACAGTCATGACAACACTCAAAATTAGGTCTGCATTTGAAGTGCGTTCAAAGTGCGAAATGGACACCATCTACCATGCTTTTGAGTGCAATATCTGATATTTCACACACGCTCTCGCGACTTCTGTTGACTGATATTTGATTTTCGGAATGGAATGTGTTGACGTCACAGCTGCAGTTACATTACATCCCTTCGTTTTTTATTTATTTAATTTTCTCTCTCCTTCGATATTTTATTTGTTTCTCTTTTAATTATTTCTTTGTTTATTTTTCTTCTTCATTGTTTTTGTTTCTTCATTCCTCTTTCTCATTCTCATTTCTTCTTATTTCTTATTTATATTCGATCCTTCCTCGCCTCAACTTATGACGCTACTGACTACGTAGCAGAGCTGAATGAAAAGTCTCGGATGAGACCTCCATGTGAGCTATCTTGCGTCGATCGTAATGCCAATGAGGCCTGCAACTCAACACGGACTTCGTGCCACGGTCAGAGCTCCAAACACGACATTGACAGATTTTGTTTGTTTCAATTTAGAGATGGGAGAGAAATACTCCAGACTTCATCCAGTCTTGAATTCGAAGTCTTTCGATAAGAGAACCTAGTGCTTTGACCCAAAAACCATTAAGTGGTACGTACCGATACGATCCAGCAAAACTCATTATTGCTGCAGCCACTTCAACGTTTATAAAACATTACTGTTCTTACGGAGATACGTATATTTGAATAGCAGGCCTACAGTGTAAACCACGTGATTGATAAATACACCACCAGAACCTCACTAATCGTTTAGTCAAACTGAAATTGTAATCTTACTCCACCGTCCAGATGAGTTACTACATGCCTATACTAAACTGAAACCCTTAATGAACATGTATTTTCAAGAGTTTCACTTTGAATAAAAAATATTTCTTGGTATTATTGCTTCTCATTAAGTTCCTTCATTCTTAAGGACTTGTTCACTTGTATGCTGTATGAAGTAACCATTAATCATTCTATTTCATGAACCATATCTTATCGCTTACGCGACATGCTGGTGTAAAAATGAAATTATGCTGCGACCATCAAGAAGGGCAACGAAATATGTTATGAAAGTAAAATATATATGCCCATAAACTGATATTATTTGCATACAGTCGAGGGGGAAGCATCATAATTTGAATTTAAGCTTCCTTAGATTTTTTGTGGAGTTAGCCCACTGTTACATTAAACATTCAATTCAGACTTTCCCATCCTTGTAGTTTAATAAAGTTAAAAGAACGAAAGTATATCAAAAATTATTTGAGGAAGAAAGTTTATTCATCACTCCGGGAAATTGACTAATTCTTTCTTCCCGCTATTTGTCTCCAAAAAAATATCTACCCACAATTCCATGCAGCGTTACATCCCATAAGAACATCGACATTTTCACCCCTGTGACCTCAGATCTCTAATATTTAAGCCGTCTAAATTTGTACAATCTTAACACGTCTTTAAAACTTAATTTCCGCTTTCTAGATTGAATGGGCAGTTCTGCTATTTTACACATAAATATTGTTAACATAAAATTGTGTGACTTATTTTATAACATTTCAATTTTGTTTCATTATTTACTTTCCGCTTTGATGTTCTGTTTATCGTCCCACATAATCTTATCCCTTGACAACGACAAGCTTAACTGTTCGCAATTAAGTTCACGAATCCGATTCCTTAAGAAGGTCTTACTGTTCTTCATTAAGTAACAATCCGCGAAGACGTAGTGGGCTAGAGATGTAGCTTCAAGAATTCTAAACCTAGATGTCAGAGGGAGGTGAGTTGCCAGCCTGAGGTTCCGGCTACTTTAACCTCAGTGAGGAAGCCACTAACACCTTTCGTTAGCAGACTGGGCGAGACCCAGAACTGGTCTGGACACAGTAGTGGCAAAGAGATAAAAACCTTCCTGCCAGGAACTGACCCACGGTCTAATTAGAAGGCAGCCTCTTTACCCTGTAAGCTACCCAGGCCTGTGATTATAATGGTCTTTGTCAATTACCAGCCTGCCTACTTCCTGTTTGCCTACTCTGGAGTTCCCACGGACATGTGCTATGGAATAATAAAGAAAATCTTTTATTTATTTTTCTGACGGATAATGAATATTCATCAAATCAGAAAATAACATCAAACAGCCATGAGGTGTTTCATTAAACGAGATAAAAGGCAGGTTGATTTTAATACTAGTGACAGTGCATTAGACACGCCAGATCACATCCGTTGATGTTTAATCTAGTGGCTGCACAGAACGCGGAAAAGGACGTTTATGAATTACGCAGTACTAATGATCATCATCATGGCTACACATTGGAATTCCAGTAGAAACTTCGTGACTAATGAAAAGGTTACCAGACCTCGTATTAATCAACTCTGCTCCATTTTAATAAGCGAAACACGTTCCAGTACCGCCTTAAGATGCAGTGCAGAAACCGACCTGCTGGTGTTTGTGGCTCCAGCTAACCTTCCCTTCTTAGCTAAGAAGGACTCTAGGCAGTAGGACGTGTAGGATACGTTATTACGAAGCTCACCTCCCATTTTCAAAGCAGAGCCATGGCGTGTCAAAGCATCTCAGTGACGTCGATGAAGCAACAACTGAGAGAACCGCCTATGTTTAATCTTAATTCCAGTGTTTCGTGTAATGATATTTAAGGTCTTAACGTATCAACCTAAAACATATTAAGTATTTCGTTTAAAAAAATATTAATATTATAAACAATTGTTCTAGTTGTATAGTCTTCTTCTGGCATAAATATAATAGACCTTGCGGCCATTTCCAATTCAGAATTATGAATAATACTACACGTTTGGTGGGACCACTTGGACGCTATGGTCCGCCAGCCCGCCTCAAGGCCCCTGCGAGCATAGAACACCACACGCCTTGAACGGGGCTGAATCCACAAGCCCAACAATCGAGCGGTCAGCAGCCACTGTGACTGGTCAGTTGTTACAGTCATATATATTTAGACATACGTAAATGGGCTAAGTGTCCTAAAATAACCGAATTTACAACTGCATCAACTTGGACTACTATACTACTCGAAATCATACTAATACTGGGAGTCGGGTGTTATTTTGAATACTCATTAATTCAAGGGGCTTCTTAAGGCTTTATTTCGCCTCTGTAAATTTCTATGGCACGTTGTATGTAAATGAAGTTGAGAGGAACCTAAGAATCGCATTGTGTACTGAGCATTCAGAGACACCTAGCAACCTGGAGCTTAAATCATTTCTAAGCAACTGACGGGAGCAAGGAACAAGTGAATAACGTAGACCGTACTGAAAGCACAGTAGTTATTTAGTGCTCTTTCAGTTGGAGAAAACATTAAAACAAAGTCTGAGGCGACTATTCAAATGCGCACTTGCTAAATAAACAAAGCTCCACCTATGCGATCAAAGAGAGGAAAACAATGGCGGTAATATTGTACTGGAATTTCGGTGGCTAATAAACTGTGCGAGATCTGAGTACAAAGCGAAAGGGATCTTGTTGCCGTTTAATTTCAGCATTTAAATTGTGCTCCAAAGCGAAGTGTCAAATATTTGACTACCGGCCGTTAATGGGACGCACCTGTAAAAAACGCGTAATTAAACTTCTCGATGGAAGAAGGACATATCTCGCTACACATAGCGAGAAATTTTATACTTCAGAATGGCGTACGCCTAATTTTTACAAATTCTAATAACTATTGAATAACAAGCTCTGGGAAGAATCTTTCACTTGCTGAAACCAGTCGTTACTGGCTACGAGCTGGGCGACTGGAGTTCGATTCCTCGCAGATAAAATGTTCTTCTTCGCCACCACGTCTACGTGAGTGGATTTCAAAATCCGTTTTTGGCCCGAGGGAAGAAAAAAGTTTGGACCACCCTGCTTTAGACTACGTATTCTAGAGGTATCCGACTCAAGACTTTCGCCAGACTTTCTTACACTGTGGCTCGGATTTACATGATTCTCTAGAGAGAACGTTCAGCAGCTAAGGGGCAGATTTAGTTAAATTTGGTTATGTTGGATTAAGACAGGTGAGGTTAGTGACGCGCAGGTGCAGTGGAACACAAGTCGAACAGCAGATTTAGACCTGTACGTTTATTATAAGCACAGAAACAAAGATCGTGCGTGAACCGACACTGTAAGCAGTATCACTTACCTTGGACAGCAGTAATTCCTTGGTGACCCTGCGGAAGTGATTGTTTAGCAGCCAATACAAGAAGGGGTTCCAGAAGCTGTTACTAAGGGCCAGCCACGTGATCAAAAAGTCCATGAACTGGGGTACCTGGGCGAGGAACAAACAATTATAAGCAGAGAAGGATTTGAGGTTTTCACAGCGGTGAGTATGAAGATTTCTGTCTTCTGGGTTGTTGCGCTGTGTAGTATGGTGGATGGTTACCAACGTTTCAGAGGTCATACTGCCTCCGTCATCAGGAAGATTCTTAGTATGACCTCTGAAACGTTGGCAACCATCCACCATACTACACAGCGCAACAACCCAGAAGACGGAAATCTTCATATTCTATTAATTATTTTAAGATTTCGGGTTTCCACTGTGACGATTATGAAGGTGTCTGCCTTCTAGGATGTTGAGCGGTGTACTCTGTTAGAAGTAAGATTTAAGGTTTTCACAGCGATGAGTATGAAGATTTCCGTCTTCTGGGTTGTTGCGCTGTGTAGTCTGGTCGATGTTAACCAACGTTTCAGAGGTCATACTGCCTCCG